ATTAAGGCGTATATACCAGCTAAGAGTGACACCATCTAGACGTTTACAAGAAATGAACTTCTTATGATGCATGACTTCTATCATTTTGCTATAGTAAACACGAAGATGGGTTTATGGTCATTGACTACCGGCGTACTTTGTGAACTCGGGCATCTTAAACTTTCTCGGAATGACAATATTAAATACCAAGTATATTTTAGTAACTTTCATTGGATCATATAAATTCATACCCTAAATGGTCCTTAAGAGCTTCTCAATGGACAAAAGTTTGTTTGATTCATTTTCCGCCTCAACTTTATGGTTGACTAGCTCTTCAACGGTGACCTTCGTATTGAAAACCGATTGACTAGTGGATTCTTTTGAAAACACCAAAAATGGATATGGAGCATTGGGATAAGATTTCTCTTATGTAGTGAATTGAGTTTCGTATCCTAACCATGACATGTAGGTAAAGACTTCTTGAAGTGTAGGCATGATTGGAGGAGGACTAACCATATAAGGAGATTATGGTGTTGCCTTTAAAATTGATGTAGGAAAGGTGGTGAGTCCTTTGGTAAGTGGCATAGATGAGTTAACTCGTGTGGATGTCCCTTTCTTGGTTTATCTTTCTTGAAGAAACTACTTTACCAAACTAACCAATCTAGTTATTTTTCCCTTAAGGGCTTTAACTTATTTGGCATGATTATGCTTCAATTGATTCATTTGTTTATTCTTTATATTCTTTCTTAGTCTAGTGTTATGGATTTTTAGCGGAGGTTGAGCTTTTATGATGCGACCTATATTTCTCCTAAGATAAAGTCTGTAAAATATGAGTTTTAGGAAAATACGAGTGCTTTCACATAAGAATTCTCAACTCGTAGTTGATTATGAATATGAAGCATGCATTTACTAAAAAGAGCACCATGGTTGTCAATTTGACTTTCGGACCATTAGTGGGCTAAACAACAAGATAATACTTACTATTGTTACCATTCATGTTCTAAATTATGCCAATAATGGACATAGTATCTTAATCCAAAAGAGATAATCCATTTAGTTTCCATTTGTTTGCTTGAATATAAGGTAGGATTGTACCTTCTACAAGCAACGATAGCTTTGGTAGCCATTATACTTCGAAGCATCATAGACAATGTTATGATTGTTCTTTAAACTGCATAAAACATTAAAAAAAAAAAAACAAAAACAAACAATGCATGTCTTATTGTCCTAAAGGTGGCCTAGAGATATGCTCTAGACTTATCCAGGTGTGATTGAGTAAGGTTACTAAACCTAATTTTATCAAAGGCTCCTATCATGGCCTCAAGTTTAACCATGGTAGGTGGTACTTAAAGCTCTATTCTCATGCATGAGGGTTACTAGGTTACCCTTCGTAGTTTGGTGTTCGGGGATAGATTTTTCACGTGAGTGGAGGTATGAGTTGCATAAGCTCTAAGATCACAATCCCTCGAGTGCCACCTCCCTTATTCTAATTTTAGGTTAAAGCGAGTGTAGGCTTAAAGATATTCTTATATAAGTGCTAGTGTGTGTAAATGGCTATATTTTATATTCAAACCCAAAAACAAACATCATAGAAAAGGTACCAAATAAACAATAGTAAATTAAGATAAAAAAAAATATGCATCAAACAAAATAATCTCCCAAGACAAGGCAAAAAAAAAGCTTAACCCTTGTATTCCCAGGTGCGAGTCATTATTATGTCACATGGTGACCTTTCGGTGATCGCAAAAATGAAATATATCGATGTTTAAAAATATAGAGTCGCCACTCGGTTTTCAAAAAGATAAAAATTAAGAAAAACATAACACTAGTCTTGGGAGTTCTAAGTAAAAAGTTGATTACACAACTAGAAAAGACTTAGTCATCCTAGTGTGCCATTGCAATGAGGTTACTTGGTATTTCTAGCTTATGTAAATTCATTCATGCAATCACTTTTCTATCATGATTTTTGATTATTTAGTCATTTTCTAACTAGTCATAAAAGAGATGACTTGAAAATTGAAAAAAAGACTCAATTTCTCACTAATATATGATTGGGCCGTTAAAGCTCATTTGCAAAGGTAAAGATCAAGCCTTAAAGCCCATTGCCAATTAAATACCCCAAGCCCCGTGTGAAGATAAATAAAAATTAATATAAAACGAACATGGACTATAAGCCCAAATTCACTTGTCAATCCATGAAATAAAAATTACAAGTCCAATTTTTTTTTAAAAAAATCCAAAAATAGGAATATAGGCCTCAAATTTATATTCATCTGTCATGCCACTTTTAAAGTGCCAAAATTAGACTCGAAGCCCAAGGTCTATTTTAGAGCCAAGTATGTAAAACAATAAAATTAATGGCACTAAGAAAATAAAATAAAATAAAATTGACATTAAATCAAATATACAACAAGCAATAGTAATAAAAATAAGGAAAAGCTGCCCATCATTGGAATACAATCGGTTTTAAGTTCTAAACCTCGTTTCATGTAGATTAATCTAAACTATCATCACACAAAATAAACACGCAAAGAGCAAGATATAATAAAATTAATATGTAAAAATCATAAATCATATAAGACAATAGGCCTCCACAAGCTCCTCAGGCTATTAATTCATATTGACTTATTTTAATTTTCTAAATAATAATAATAAAAAAAAACCTATTGCTAGCTTCATGATTGATTGTTCCTTATGGAGTTTTTATATAAAAAATAAAAATACTATGTAGTATGTCAAACCTTTACCATTTTTTTATAAAAAATAATAAAACTCTAACCCAATCAGATTAAATTTAAAAACACCCAAATATCATAAAAATTTTGAATTTAAATCCCTTTTAAATCTGTCAAAAATCACAAAGTATAGCAAGTTCTGATTTTTTGTCAATTTCACTCTTTTAATCAAGATGTTTTAATCTCATAATCATCCAAAGTCCATCTTAATCATATAATTAATATGAAAAACATATTAATCAATCAATTAATCATGCAATATAACAAAATTTAGATGATGATTAAATCAAAAAGCAAAGATGCAGAAATTAACCATAGACGGTGGAACTTCGGACGACGAGTGTGGCCTACTAGGTGGTCTGAATTGAGCCATTCTTTGTGGCGTTGGACTCATCTTGGCTAGACGATTCTTCTTCTCCAGAATATGTTGTCCGAAAGGCGACGAGTGAGGAGCGCTGACGGTTTATTCTTGACTGTTATTTGGCTCTTTTTTGTGGTTGATACGTTTTTCTCCTTCTCTTAGGCAGCAGCATGTGTGAGTGTGGATGGGGTAGTGTGTGTGTGAGAGGCGCCTAGGTCGGTTTAGCAAAAATTTCCTATTGGGGGAAAAATTGGGCTGGATAGTCAGGACAGCCAGGCCCAATCTGGAGCCCTGGGCCTGGCGAGTGGTTGGGCCTGGTGCAAGGCCCAGCGCACCCTGGCTGTCCGGACCCTCTTTTTTTCAAATTTTTTCTTTTTCTTTTCTTTTCTGTATTTTTGGCACTTTTTTTTTTTTTTTTTTGGTGCGGGTGATGACGATCAACCCAACTGGACGGTGAAGAAGTTTACCTATATTATTGCAAATTCTTCCTCGGTTGAAGAGTTGAAGACTCAAAAGAAAAAATTGGAAAATGTACTGACTTACAGAGGCCAACAACTAGCGTTCAACAGAGATATACAATCCACACTACGATGGCAGACAGTTGGGATTCTGTCAAGCATATCCCTTCCTTCTCACTTGCTCCTTCAACAACTATGGCCCTTGTAAGAAGCTTCCGTTGACCACTGAAGAAGTTAAAAGATATATCATATATGAACCAGATTCTTTTAGCCAAACGCATGCCTAGAGACTACGACGTGAGAAGCGACATGATCAACGGCTTCCCTCACCACTATTGTCAAAGGCTTCAGGATGTGTTAATTCTTACGAATATAATAAATATTAGCAAACTTAAGGGGTGATGACTTACCTCCACGTAGGTTTACTTAATTTTTATTATGGATTAAACATTCAGGATACCTCTTTATTCTTTCAAATATATTAATTATATTTTTTTATTAAATTTTTTAACTATCGTATATTTTTATTCTTAATTACATTTATATTTAATCAATTCGATCATTTTTTAAATAATGAAGACAAAAATCACAAAATAAAAAAATATTGAAAGTTGTCTTTGTTATTTGAAAAAATGATCAAAGAGACCAAATGCAAATACAATTAAAAATAAAAAAATATGATAGTTGAAAAATTTAATAAATGGATACGATTAAAATATTTGAAACAAGTAGAGAGAAATATTAGATTTTTTAACTCTTTTTATTATTATTATACATTTATGTTAATTCTAGTTCAGTAACTAATGATATTTTTTTGAAGAAGTTTCAAAGCCTCCCTCAAGTAAAAACATAAAATCAAACAATCAAACTATTGCTCAATTAAGCTTTTCAGTCTTTTTAATGTGAATATTTTTAAAAATTGTTAACAAAATTTTATTCCGTTTTAAGTTAAATTAAAAAATTTGTAAATAAAAATAAGTAAATCACAATAGATTCTCTTAAGATATTATACAATTATAAATACTATTAAAAAATTGAAAATTTTAACTAAAACTCTCTTAATATTTTAAAAAATACTATAAATTTTATTTTATACTCAAAATTTGCTTTCTGATATAAACTTAAACCTATAAAAAATATTTTGGATTAAAAACTATTTTTATCTTTAATTTCACTAAAAAAACAAAAAAAGAATAACAAAAGAAATGAAATAGAAAAAACCCTATTTTCCAATTCGCGGCCTGAAAAAAAAAAAAAAAAATTTGAAAACAAAATTCTATTTTCAATTTTGTGTGGAGATATTATTCTAGAAACGGGAGTTATTTTATGAACACTTTCCAACCTAAAAAAGGCCTAGTCTTCAATTCAGAGACGATGTTTGTATAAATTAGCCACTCTTCCAGGCCGAGCCTCACTCGTATTCGCATCTTTCAACTCCCGAAACCGAAGAAAAGAATAACAAAAGAAATGTCAGTCCTCGGCGACGACGGTCTGGGCTATGAGCTAGCCCGGAAGCTCGAAACGCTAGGTATGTGGCGCACTTGGCTCGGCGACGGTCTCTACTCTAATTTCCTTCATTTCCTCTCTTCTCCTTCCACATGGTACTCCTTCATGCGAACCGACGACTCCAAATCAAAGTCCCAAATCCAGCTTCAGCTCCGAGCTCGCGCTCTCTTATATGACAAAGCCAGCGTCTCTCTCTTTCTCCGACCCAACACTGTTGCTGCGGCTTCTAAGCTCAATCCAACTTGTGAGTCGAGATTTGATTTGTAACTTTTCTTTTTTAAAAACTTTTCAGAGAGTGACTGACACTGGTTTGATTAATTTTCGTTTTGTTTTTTCTTAGATTTGCAATTGCACGGTGATGATGTATACTTCACTTTAGAGGATGAAGATCAAAGACGAGATGGGGTTGGAATTGGGGCAACTACTAAGGTTTGTCTTGTTTTGTTTCATCATAATAATCTCGTCAAATCATGGTAGTATTAATTTTTCATTTTCGTGTTAGTAATTTTGTGTTGTATATTCGGTGTCAGAGATATAAGAACGAAGAATTGCCAGAAACATGGTATAATCAGTTTATGGAAAAGCGTAAACTTAAAAGAAGTTATAGGCTATCATTTGGGGACCGAGAGTCGGACAGACGCTCACCAGAGCAAATGTCTACTTATTTTAAACTTCTTGCTAAGCATAAAAGAAGATATGTTGCGTTTAATAAGCAAGATCAGTATTTGGGCGCTGGAAATTCTTCTCTAGAAAGCACTTCAAGTATGCGTTCTGGTTCTGTTTCGGATGGGTCTAACTCGGTGGATGATGACTTTGTGTTTTTCCCCGAGACAATGTTTATGTTCAACTGTGTGCCCGATAGTGCAATCCCACCAATAATTAGAGCTCAAGACAATCAGAAAATAGAGTTCCGTGGAGTTCTTGATGCATTACCTCAGACCAGAAATCCTGTAATGATAGAGAGGCTTGGTATTAGTGTGGAACAAGGAGGGGGTTTACATCGTGGGAAAAATGGGTCTGAAAGCAATAAAAAACTTCTTGCTCAAGAGCAAGCTTCGCAGATGTCTCAAAAGGTAGTAGCCCACTTGTTGACAAGAGTTGGTTTTGATGGTGCATCAGAAATTCCTGTGGAAGTCTTCTCTCAATTGTTCAGGTGTCATATTTCTAAACTAGGCCGTATCTTGAGAATACTTGCTGATAGCTACAGAAAGCAGTGTTCAGCAGTTGAGCTACTTAAGATGTTTCTTCAAACAGCAGGATTTAAGTGAGTTTGAAAACCTTTTTACCATTTCTTATAGTATTTCATTTGCTTTTTTTTTTTTTCCATTTGATGCCATTTCTCTAATCCCCCAAGATATATTTTGAACACAAAGCTCAATAATCAACTATAGTTTCTAGAATATTACTGTTATCGGATGCAATTTTGTTTAGCTTGAATCTTTCTGCAAAGGATTTTAAGATGTGTGTTTTTCGCATTCATTTCCTTAGTTACTCATTAAATTGTGCATTTATTTCATCAAATACTCATTGTATATTGGTATAAACATTTATGAAGCATGTTGGTTATTTTCCTAGTCAAAGAAGTTGCTGACGCAAGAAGGCCACACCATGTATCTCCTGTAAGGTTCTCACTAGCAGCATGCTGCTAGTTTTGTAAATGTATGTGTCATGCCGCAGCCCAGTCTGCATATAATGTGCGGCATGGCCGAGCTGGTGTGTTTTTGGACATGCCTTTCTCTATATTTGACCAGCCTGTATTCAATTCCCTTCCTCATGCCTTCTTCCTTGCACTGAATTTTTTACACACTTGGAGTGCTCATCCACCCAAGTTGAAAATGGCTTTTCAGAGGGAAAATGCACATTATCATGCTGAAATGAAGTTGTCAAAAAATGCCTGTTACTGGACTGGATTACTCACAGTTCAATTGCAGATTATTGGCATGACCCTTTCTCTCTCTTAGAGCTTCATTTTTTCCAATCAAGGAGGCCTTTTGCTTTCATGATAACGGCTTAATGCGGAGACGCTACACATTTTAGATCTTTTGTTTTTTTTTAAAAAAAAAAAATTGGCCTTGGTGTGATCCATATGTTCTGGAGGACCATGGCTCCCCATCCATTTTGGACACCATCTCATTGGTCTAGTGTTGCAGCTTTTCACCATAAATATCTTACAATACTTTCAACTGTGGTCTTTGGGCTTAATTTTGCCTTACACCGCTTTCCAACCTCACTCTTTCCCTTTCTATAGAATCTTGACCATTACCATACCTGGACTAGCTCTTCGTCCTTACAAATTTTTTATTTATATTGAAATGGGGCTGATCCTCAAGATTTTGTTTTCATAAGAGGGTGTTTGATTCACAAAATCAGAAGGGTGAACCTGGGATATTATAATCAGGATGCTATTATGCATGGCTCATTTTGGGAATGTTGGTTTTTGAAATTTTACTTCCCTAAACCCACAGCTTAATTGCAGAATCTTATTTTTCGAGCTATTGGGAGTTGAAATTTAACATTATGATAGATATGCTCTTTCTATTTAAACTATGAAGGCAAGATGCCCTCATTATAAATAAGTTCATGACAACAATGAGAATATAGTACGTATATATCTTAGATACCTGTAGGGCTTCCAAGAGAGAGAACAAGTTTGAGAATTATATTCTTCTAGGTCAGCCAGACACACAAGCCTGTCATATATTGGGTTCTCTTAGGTGTCACATTCTCTAGAGTTATCATGAGGAAAGCAACATTCCATGAACCAAATACACCTTCATTTTGTTTTGTTTTGTTTTTTGAGGGAAGGGGATAAATGAAGCTTTTCTACATATCTGATTTAATCTGAAAGCATTGGAAAATAGACATCATGTTGACTGCCATGCTATTAATTATGAAATGTATGCAATGGCAATCTCTGCTGTATCTTAGATCTTTGTAAAGCTTATTTTCTGGTTCCAGTTTTTTATAAAGCTTAGCAATCACATTGCTTACCTTTGCATATCCTTCCAACTTCTTCAATGTTTTATATTTAGGCTTGTTTGCATTTAATTGCATGAAGACTCAGTGGTGATTAATTGTTCTGCTGTCTTATCTAATAAACTCACCTTGCATTTTCATGGTACTATTGATTTTCTGTCAGCCCATTATATCTAATAACTACCCCCTTTCCGCCCCAATGATTCTGTCTGTCATAAGTACTTATTCTCTTTTACTTTAAAAACTTGGATTTTTTTGCTATTTGTTTTCTATTATATCCACTGTCTAACATTTCCACTTTTGCTGCTAGTAATTTGGGCGTCTTGATGGAGATTGTTAAGGAAGGTGCTAGAAATACTTCTGAACCAACCCAGCAACAAGTACATGGAATCCAGTCACAATTTCATTCTCAGCACCAGAATCCTCTTCGACTACCCCAGCAAGTACGCAATATACATCAATATCTTTGTCCTGCATTGCATTTTCCCAGTTTTGACCTTTCCACTAATTTAATCATTTGGTTTTGGGGTTTTTTGAGTTTGAGAAAGTGATTCAAATTGTGGTTGGAATTTTCCTTCTGGCATTAATTTGATCACTTGAAGCTTCTTTACACGTTAAAGGGAATGGCTCTTTTGGATTTTCTTTTGGTTTAAAAGAATATCCTTACACCAAGGTTGTCCTCGAAAGAAAAGGGTCTGTATGAGTTTTTTCGAAGACACATTTTGTTGATTTCTTAGCACTTCATGATTAAACTCCAATTTTTGTCTAGCCAGGCTTCCAATTTTTCATATAATCTCCCAAGGTTTTTAAAGTTCCACCACTTTAATAGCATTCACCTCTTAGCCTCCCTCGCTGGTATTTTGATATGGTTATTGGAGTACGTTGCCTGAGAATCTACCCTTGGGCATTGGTCATAGGGTATTAGGATGGATATCCCCTAGTATCTAGATTCTAGAGTCTCTCTGGGCTGTAAAAGCTTTTTAGTGTTGACCTTCACATTTTATCATATTTCTGTGATAATGTTATGATAAGTTGATAACTGGATTTTTGATCTATGATGAAGTTACAGATCCCAAGACAAATGCATCCGCAGATGCAGTCAATGGTTCATCCCCAAAATTTGGCATTTCAGCAACAGCAGTTGGAGAGAATGCGTAGGCGCCAGGCATCCACTCCTCGCCCTGGTATGGATGTGGACAAGGACAAACCGTTGGTACAAGTAAAGGTTGAAAACCCACCAGAATCGCCAATGGATAATAATGCCTTCAATGCTTTCCATTCCAGACAATCACAGATGCAGTACCGGCAGCAACAAATTGCTGCAATGTCAAATCTCCATTCTCAATCTAGCAATCAGCTTAGGCAGTTGGCATCCCTGCAAGCTCCGCAAATGCAGACATCGTAAGGAAAACAAATTTTGCTAGACTTGTTAGGATTGTTCAACTTGTAAGACGCTATGATTCATTGATTTGCATGCAGGAACCATGGCATGGTGAGGGCTCCACCAGTGAAGGTTGAAGGTTTTCAGGAATTGATGGGTGGGGATGCGGCATTAAAACATGAGGCTGAGGAAAATAAGCTAACCTCTCCATCAAGTAAATAACTTATTTAAGTAGTCTACATAGATGCACATTATTCTGACCTTGGTAGCTACGTGTAATTGTATCAATATTTTGTTGTCGTTTTAGGAAATATATGTATATATTCTAATTTAATTGCTTTTCTCCAGCACTGGGAGAGACATTCATGTCTATATCCCTTTTTTTCAGTGCTACCACTCTTGTAAATGAAAGAGTTGGGTTCAGTTGTCCAATGGACTATTCCTACTGTCCAAGTTACATACAGAATTCATTGATTAAATCAAATCTGTTGTGCAGGTTGCATGAATTTTTTGCTTAGAGTTGGCATAGAGTGAAAATGATAAATAATTTTGGATGATTTTTTGAATTTATCAACTATCAGATTTTGACAACAATGCATTGATCGTCCCCTTATTTTATTGTATTATTCAGATATGTCTTGTAGCCTATCTCTGTAGAGGTAGAGGTATGATTTTTCTCAGCTAGCTCTCCTCTTATTTGATAAATTTTTAGTACATATTTTGCATGTCAGTGGGTGTTTTAATCATTATTCACCACCAGTAATGTGTAAGGTCAATGTTTTCAAAATTTTAGATAATGCAAAGCCACCACATGATGTTACTGTTCTTAATATGTTTCGCAAAATTTAATAACAACTGTTTAAATGCATGGTGAAGTGATATTGATTAAGAAGTCGATAGCTATGCTGTTATTTTAGGTTATAAATTATATATTCCTGAGGGTAAATTAATTACAATGTCCTGTAGTTTAATGACCGGTTATACTAAAACTTAAAGGCAACATTCACGTATGAACATAATGAACTTGCAAAATACGAGCAAACACGATAAAATAACGAATATGAATAAAAAAAATCGAACATAAGAATTTATTACAGCTTAGAAATAAGTCTTTATAATCATAGTTTTAAATAACGATCGTGGTAGAAAAAAATAATTGTGATCTCGGATTATGGTTTATTACGATAGTAAACTAATGATCGCAGAAATCGGTGTTGTGAATAAATTAATAATTGTTAATAAATTTATTTTAATTTATATTGTTAATACTCAATTTTTACCTCAATTATTTTATTTCATTTTTAATGCAAAATACAAAAAAAAATATATATATAATAACACAAAATGCTAACTATAAAAAGAAAAAAAGAAATTAAAGAGAAAAGTCTTAATTAATTGAAATTTAAGGGTTCTATTGAAACTGGAATAACCAAAGTTGGACTTACATTGATGGATTACAGGAAATTAGGGACCAAAACAAATTTTTACTAAAAAACCTAAAATACACCTCTAAATAAACCCCTCATTTTTTTTAATAACATATACTATTCATCTCCTTCAAATCTTCATCTAGTTGACCCTCTTTCGATTGCAATCTAAACTTCACCCAAATCACTATCTCCTCTCATTGCCAACCTCACTCGAAAAAGCCTCGCCTCGCCCTAGCATTCCGGCCCCTCTTGCAAGCACCGGCCAATAATCCCCTCTCGCAAGCATCGGTCAACAACCCTTTTTCATGCGTCGGCCTCCTTCACCTCGTAGTCTTCTTCTCCCGAAGCCAACAACCCTTCTTGCATGCCAACGGCCCCTTCTCGCAAGCACCAACCAATAATCCCTTTTTGCAAGTACCGACCAACAACCTTTTTTAACACGCTAGTAGCCCTTACATGCCGACCCTTACGGCGGCCATTAAGCGGCTTTCGTGTGGTAGCAATCCTCGCATGTTGATCTTTTATGCACGACCGACCAGGTAGCCCTTGTAGCTAACACTCCTTATGCACGACTTGCCAACAACCCTTATAGCTAGCCCCTCATACACAACCAGCCAACAACCATTGTAGCCTTGACTTGCATGCTAGCAACCAACTAGCCACTCTTAAAAAAGTTTTTGTTTTGGTTAATTGAGTTTGGCAAAAATAACATGATGTTGTAGACTACATTTGTATTTATTTTTTATAGGAAAAAGCATAGTAACTATTTTGTTACTAAGTCTCCTTAAGTTGCGACGAGAATTGATAATTTTTAGAAAAGTTGAAAGTATACGAGTTATTGTAAAATTTGTAGATAACTTTGGCAAATTTACAATAATTTTGACGATTGTTGCAACTTTGACTATTTACATTGACCTTGGAGGGATTTTCGGTCACTTTAGCGGGATCCATACGGTGTTTTGACAATAGACAATCGTTCTCCTTTTTTGACTAATTGAACAATTAGTTATCATCGAGGAAGAAGATAATAGAATTGATCATCAAATCATACACTTGAACTATATAATATTTTTAGATAAAACCTCTAAAACGATCTCACTCCTTAAAAAAGTGAATGAAATTATCACATTTTACTTATATATTCATAGTTTAAATGTGATTGAAATGAATATTGCAATAATTGTCATTATGAAAGAATTACCTCATTTAAGCATCTACAATTTTAATGTTGGTTGATGCATGTTTTTGTGGTCCGATTGATTTATCATACTTGATTGTAATGCACCTAAACGTTTAATAGTCATATCTAAGACGTATTATATAATTTTACTGTTTTTTAAAGTCATTTTGCATGTGTTACGTTAGTTAAAAAACATGTCATTGGTGACTTTTCAGCCATGGACGAAGTCAAAGCCATCGGTGACCTCAAAGCTGTTGACGAGAACGAAGTTATTGGTAATTTTTCACTTATTTGATAAAGTCGTCAACGGTTTTGATATCATTTTTTATGCGTTACGATTGTCGGAAAACAAGCCACCGAGTGGTTTTTCACTTATGTGATGAAGTTGTCGGTGGCTTGCAAATCAATTATCTGCTCGTTGCTCGAGCAAAATGAAGTTATCGATGATTTGTCACTTGTGTGATGAAGTTATCGATAGGTTTCCAAGCTTACGATCCGAAGTCGATGAAAGCTTCCTACTTATGTGAACGAAGTTGTCAATGATTTCTTCTCGATAAAAGTTATCGATCTTTAGAAATCCACCTACTTGTCGGTATAGATCGTATTCGTTAAAGATTAGCTAAAATTTCAACTCTTTCTATCTTTCCCCTTTAAGTGAGGGGTATTGGTCGTAGACCTTAGACCGGCCTAAACCTTCAAACTATGTTTTACATTCCAATCTACTTTATTTTTATTTGTTAATAAAATAAATTCATTTAAATAGGCATACAAGTATTACACGGTAAAAAATTAGATTTTTATTATCACATGTATTTAGTACAACCTATTTTAGGTAGGACGAGATGATAGTAATGTTATATCTTTCTCATACGTAACCGACCCACGACTCGGATATCTTTTCGGACCAATATGTTTAGGGTCTTTTAATTCTCTCCGATTAGCTAGGTGGCGACTTTATGTTTCTTGCGTATCCCCTACGAGCCCCTATCGATAAAATAACGACTCTATTATGGACCATGTCATGCTAGGATCAAGCTTTGAATGTCCGCATTTATAAATTTTTAGTTGTTTGTTATGCTTATATGTCCGTATATTTCGAATGAATGATTAGGCTTTAATTATTTGCTTGTTTGTTTGGTTATATATGTGTGTGTGTGTGTGTGTGTGTGTGTGTGTGTGTGTGTGATATTTTGCTTTGTAGATTTTATCTTTTAATTTTTTTCTTAGTTTTTGAGACTCGGATATGGGGTCATGCCTCATACACAACACTACATATATTATCTATCACACATACTTACCTTTGGAGTTAGGGAGGAATTACTAGTGCCTCGATATGTTTCACTTGGAGTAACAATCACGAAACCTTAACTTTTTTAGAAAGCTATCACCGTAGCGATAGGTAATCGATGGTTTCGTAGTTATCACCTTCGCACTTGGTCAACCTCAATTCTTTTAAGCCGAAAGGGACCTTTTTGAGACTTAGATCCTATCTAATCATGTAATGACTATAATCGAACCTTATGACCATCTTTCCTGTGTAAATTCACTAAATAAGTCGGATGTATTGAAATCTTGACCAAATAATTTGGTTGTGAATGTTTTGGGATGAGTGATAAGAGAATTCGGATCCAAACCCACATGATATTTGAATTTAATAAAAATTTTGAGGCTTTGGAACAAACAAAGGGGGATTGCTTGGGGCTAGAATTTCGAGCAACCACTAAGAGATCACATCCTTTCGGTCGGTGGTCAATAACACTTAAAAGTTGTTTGATTGTTGAAGGATGCCGAGTCCCGATGATCGGTACAAGTTTCAAATCAAATATGAAAATCTCGTTGTTTTGTTAGAGGTATCTATCCAAAAGCTCGCTCTCGAGGCTTTGGCTCGCCCATAAGACCCCTCATATAGATGTTTTACTATAGGAGAACTAGACATGACTCCTACCTTGGAGGAGTACCTTAACTCTTAAACATGTCGAGCACTCGTATAGGTTTTATCTATATTGAAGAAGATTGGATGTCGAGAAAGGGGTAGAAGATTGGTTAGACATAAACATGAGTCATGGCAAGACCAAAAGGAATACCGAGAGGATGACACTATGATCGTTGGTTAGATGTGTTCAAACAAAAGCTAAAAATTCTTGTATCTAGTTCCAAGAGGATCTAAATTTTAGGATTGATGATCTTTGGGTTAATGCTCTTTCTCATCGGTCGGCATAATTAGTTGAGATGTGGCTAATGTCTTCATCAAGGTAGAGAAGCACTCCATAAATCTTATTGTTGTCATCCTAGTCGAAACCTTCTCCTCATTGAGTCATTGTAGGAGGTTTGAAAAAAGGAGTATGAGATGTTGTGTTCAACTACTCGTTTGTGTGGATAATCGGTCGTATTAAAGCCTATAAATCGGTCTTTAAGACATGCTTGGTAGAGTGATCAAGAACTTTTGAAGGAATTCTTGGCTAATCCACGGAAAGATAAGTACGAGCAAGAGTGGTTTTCATTATTTTTAAGTTTGTAAGCCGAGGATTTTCTATGAAAAACGAGTTTGGATGAATCGAACACCACCCATAAGTTAAGTAACTGATTCTTGGGTGTCCCGTTATTGTTATATAACGATCGTTACGTAATGATCTTTTTTAAAACTATGTTTACAACTATTACTTCAAGTTTGATATGGTGCCACTCTCACCTCTATAATACTTTAATAACCTAAATAATTATGCTCATACAAGGAGCAAATCAATCAAAGTAAGCAAAATATATATTATTTCGACCAATCAAACTATCAAGAAGATGTAATGAAAATGCATCCGTTTTCTATTCGTTTTTTTTCCCATTTATCATCTTCAAAAAGTATAGGAATGAAGGATAGTAAATTCATTATACTAGTTATTATTTCTTGTATGGAAATAGTAATTGCAAAAAATCTTACCAAAATGAACAAAATTATATACTAAAAACATCACTAGATTGGTTTTAGGCTCCACTCCGCTGATAATGCTATTGTTCATCCGAGTATAGGAGTTTTTTTCAAAGTTCTCATACACGACAAGGTTTTTACGACTTTCATGCATGTGTTCAACATCTATGATCCTTCTAAAATCTTTTCTAATATGCATAAAGAGTATTGTGGTTAACTTCAAACATACTTAGTCATTTTACAATATAATACACGAGTTGAATTGAAAAAAAAAAAAAAAAAACTTGATCACTTTAAATTTCAATCTTTTGCGCATAAAGAAACAATTTTCAAATATTTCTCTTAAATAACCTTTTTCGCAAAACGGAAGGAGCTTGGTTGGTTGGGGTTATAACACATAGGGCTAAACAAAATCGAACCAAACTGCCAAATTTGATTCATTTAGTTTTTGATTTATTCTATTTGGTAATTCGGTTTTTATTTTGATTTGGTTTGAAAACCAAACAAATTAAAAAACTAAATTCTTTTTATTTCAATTTTTTTAAAAATAAAAATTTTAAATTAGAAAATTTTATTCACAAAAAAAAAAAAAAATTACCCTCCAACATTTCAGCTATTTATCAATAAGATCATTCCGTCCATCTATGTTAGCAAAAAGTAATGGAAATTTACTTTTTGCTGTATAAACTTCATTTTTCTCTCTAAAATATCGATATTTTATCAATTAATTCTTTAAAAAACTCTCACAAGATACATTTAAAGATATATATAAAAAAATTTATTTTGAAAGAAAATTCACAAAAAAATAAAAAATAAAAAAATTAACAAGATGTTATTAATTGAATTTTAATCAATAAAAAAATTAACTTACGTTTTTTTTTTAATATCGACCATTAAAATCATTAAATGCCCCAACTTTATTGAAATTCAATAAATAATCTTATAAATGGTTAATTCATTTTAAAAAAAGGTAAAATATCAACATGCTAAATATGTTAATTTTATTTGATTTGATATTAAATTGATATGTTTTTTCTTTCTTTCATATATAAAATTAGCATATATTTGATTCTTGTACTCTATCATCTTTTTTTTTTCATGAGCAGTTTATTGCTGTAAATTTACTTGAGTTATCAAAAAAAAAAAAAAAGTTCAAATTTTGTTTTTATTTTTCTAGAAAAAATTAAATGAACTATATGCGTCTTTTTTATTAATTAAATTTAAAGAAAAAATTGAATTTGAAATTTTCTTTATTTTACAATAGATGTAATAAGAAGGTAGTTTTTAGTTGTTGTTGTTTTCTTTCTAATGATAGGTTACACTTTGTGTTCGACTTGCATGTATTAAGTACCGAGCCAGTGTTCATCTTGAGTTCAGGATTGAACCCTTCATGAAATTCTTAGTTGCATTACTTATAGTTTAAATCATTATTTTATGATAGATATAATTAAAATATTTTAGTCAAATTGGCTTCCAATTTTTGTATATTAAATTTCATATTTATTATATTTTTTGCTACCCTTGTATTAAGTAAATTTGCTTTCAAATCAAAATTTTATTTTTATCTTAAAATGAATAAAGTGAAAACGTTTTGTTATTGAAAATTATTTATATTTTTGGGAAAAAAAATAAAAAAATAAAAGTAGTTTCCCTTAATTTTTATAACGAAGATAGATTAAAAAAAAAAAAACTTTATTGATAAATGGACGATATCAAAAGGTGACTGATACATTACAATATTTTTGGAACGAAATTAATAGAGTCCACATCCTTCAATGGTAAAACGAAATTAACCACTTAAAATATTTATTATACTATTTTAACTACAACACTCTTCGGGGCGCCCTCGACGCTTTTGTTCACTCACCCCCACGCGCTTTTCCTCAGAGACGCGCACACTCGCTTTCTACTTTCCAATGTCTTCTTTTTCTTCTCCAGGCCGGAGGAAAAGTGAAAATAGTACGTCCAATCCAAAAACAATTCCCCCTCTCTCTCTCTCTGTTTTTTTTTTCCTTCCCTCAATGGAGCAGCAGCAGCACGACCACCAGGATCCCTACCATTTCCAAAAGCAGAGTCACAAGCGCCGTCCACGGAAGCCGTTGATCGAGCTGCAAACGGGCCAGGTTGCATTCCGAGTAGTCTGCCATGATTCGATAATCGGTGGCCTTATCGGCCACTCCGGCTCCATAATATCCCAAATTCGGCTTGAAACCGGTTGCCTTGTTCACTGCGAGGAGGCGGTGCAGGGGTCGAAGCACTGGGTGATTGTGGTGGTGGGGTCTGCGTCCCCGGTGAGGAAAATTGCGGTCGGTGAAGGTGAGGAGGAAGTGTCGGGAGCGCAGGAGGCGGTGGTTAGGGTTTTGGAGAGGATGTGGGAGGTGGATGCAAAGAAATGTGGCGGTGGTGGCGCTGAGCGCGAGGGGTATTGTGGACTTTTGGCCAATACGACGCAGATTGGTGCCGTTGTGGGTAGAGAAGGCAGGAACATCAAGAGAATAAAGCGAGGGAGTGGGGCTCATATATGGATTCTTCCGGCGCCGCCTTGCGCTTGCGAGGAAGAGCAATTAATTCAGGTTTTTTTGTTTTGTTTTGTTTTGTTTTTTAATACAATAAACAATAAATCTTTGATATTATTTGAAAGAGTAAATTATAAATTAGTCCCTCTAATTTTCAGAAATAAATTAATTAGTCTCCTAGTCTTAAAAACTATTATTTTATCATTTAAACCATGATTGACACACTTAATTTAATATTAATTTACTCCATCAAATGTCTTTTTTCATAAATTTTTTCATATTTTTTATTTTTTTCTATTTTTTAAAATAAAAAATGAAAAATATTAAGTTACAAATAAATTAATTTAAAAACATAGATACTAAATAATTAATTTTTGAATCTAAGAGACTAATTAATTCGAGTCTCAAAAACTAGTGCGACTAATTTATAATTTTCTCTTATCTGAAATGAAAAGAAATTTGAAAAAATTGGTACATGAAAAAAAAGATTACAGGCAGCAGTGTGGCTGTAAAGAAAGCAGTGATTGATGTAAGTAGCCGCCTTCAAGATTGTCCTCCGTATGAAAAAGATGAAGAAGAAATGGGTTTCACCGTTGGACCTGTCTGGAGAAGTAGTGATTGTTCCTCATCGGATCCACACGCAGAATTCTTTCCTCATCTTTATTCCTTGCTACCCACTTTTCCTGAAAATGTATCATCTCCAACTGATGGAGACCACGAGAAACCTCCTAACCAACAATTACAAGTTTCATTCAGGATGCTCTGCTCCCATGGCGCAGCTGGGAGCATAATAGGCAAGGGAGGTTCCATAGTCAGAGCCCTAGAAAATGAAACTGGTGCTTCTATCGTCATTGCTCCTTACATCACCAATTCTTATTACCAACGTGTAGTTACCGTTTCTGCACTGGAAAGCCTTGAATCATGCCACTCTCCTGCACAGAATGCACTTGTTCTTGTCTTTGCTAAATCCATTGAGCATCACATTGAAAAATGTAGTTCCTCAGCTTTGGTTCAGGGAACTCTTGTGACTGCAACCCTCCTACTGCCATCGAATGTGGTCTGTTGTTTGAGTAGAGAAGGAGACGAGGTAGATTCAGAAATCATAGAAAACACTGGTGCTGATATACATATATTGCAAGGGGAACAATTCTTCAATTGCGCTTCAGAGAATGATGTACTAGTGCAGGTGCAATTCTGATCAACCTTTTTTTATGTGCTCAGATGACATTGAGTCTGATAATTGTTGCTTAATGTGACTTTTGGTGCTGCTGTGAAGTATGCTTATGAACAGTTTTATGCCCCTCTCCCTTCAAGAGCAATTAAAACTTCATCACATGTGGTTGTCATCATCTAGTTTAATTAGCAAATTTCACCTCTTCTTGTGGCATTTTCAAAGCTCTACCAGTTCTCTGTGCATCGGTTGTATTTGTATGCTTTTTGTTCCCTTTCATTTATATTATTATATATAATTTTGATATTCTTGTTCTTTGTTCTGTAGATATGCTATATTTTAAATGTACCAAGAATTGTTACTTGTCATTTACTTTTTGTTTTGAAATTTCCTGATGCTTTCAAAATAGAGGACTATTCTTGATTATCCAGGACATAGAACTATAGAAAGATTCCTTGTAATGGAGTGTGATCAGCTAACATGGTAAAGCAGTTGGAGCTTCTAGAGAATTTCTTTCTTTCTTTCTTTTCTTTTTTTTTAAACCCTACCTACTTGGTAACAGACCTTTGGTACCACCTGCCACTATTTATTCCCAAACTGTTTTATTTTTTGCAGATTACAGGCGAGTACCAAAATGTACAGAATGCTCTGGTTCAAGTTACCAGTAAACTGAGGGATAATCTTTTGCCAATTGAAATGCTCAATGAATTGAGGTCTGGAAGCCTCGATAGAAGACCGAGGGAGATCACTTTTCCTAGATTGCATGAATCAGCTGGCGAATCTCTCGATTCCAATCGGGAAACAAGTTTGGAAAAAAGAGTGGATCAAGTATGTAATCCTCCTTCCTCTTTGCTGCAGTTGCCACAGGTGAAGATTTTTTCATCCCCTTGTTTGCAGTTTTTATATTTAGTTCAGTCCAAAAGCCTTCTTGTCATGTGGTCACAGAAATTGCGAAGAGAGCCAACAACATGCATCACAGACGATGAAAGCAGCTCGACCACCTCTCGCAAGGTTTCAGAACTGAAACGGGCCCTGCATTTTCTTTTACCGAGGGAGGTGCTTGATTAGGTAGGAGGGAGGAGTACTGGTGGGGGAGTGGTGGAGACTACCTTTCGTAAATCTCGTGATTATGTTCCAAAAGCAAATTTAACACCAGGAAATGAGGTTAGATAATTGACATAGATATTGTTTGTGTCACATTGCTGCATATTTGTCAATTTGAAACAATAGCAGGCTGTTAAGGGTTGTGTCAATATGGGAACATTCTTCTTATAGTCAAGGTTTCGTAGACGGTAAAATCATAAGATATACTCGAGTCTTTCTAACAGCCGTTACCACTCATCTTTTGGGTTAGGAAGGACAAACACACAAGTTGAGTCATGATTTATTAATGTTTTTGTTGAATTAACCTGACAGGATTTCACATGCTTTACAATGGTGTTCTTCGCTTGTGTTCTGGTGCTGCAATGGATATCCGGTTGTTACGTGATCCATTAAAAGCTCTGTTTGGTGGTATTGTGCTTTCCTACGTTAAAGTTTCTTTTGTCAAATCGAGTACATTATGAGTTAGTCCCTCTATTTTTACAAAACGAATTATAATCCTCCTAGTTTCAAAAATACTTAATTATTCTATTGTTGTGTTGTTTCAATTTGTTTTGTTTTAAAAAATAGAGAATGTAATAAACCAAATAGATATTATGGAAAGACCGTTGAGAAATATTTTTTGAAAATATTAATATTTAATTATATGGTCAAAATTGGTTAAGAAATTAATTAATTAGTTTTTTAAAATTAAAAGGATTATTTAATTTATTTTGCGAAACTAAAGCAATTTACTGTATTTTCAGGAAAGATGGCTGGGGCCGGGAATGGGGCTGTGGCTGGGGAGATTCTTCCTTACTGGTACCACGCATGTATAGTTTTATACAGTCCTACGCTTAGGTCTAAACTAGTCGATGACCCATTCTTTTTAAGAATGAAAATACAACATTATATTATAATAGCAACTAAAAAACAATTTAGAGTGCTTTTAAATATGAACTAAAAGGAACGCATAGTAGTCTTAAAAGCTAAATGCTTTTAAAATTTTTTTTTTTTAAGGTATCTCGAATTCAAAGATCCAGACTAATCTTTCGTAATTTAATTAGATGTACAAAATAGATAAAGTTATCTAAGAAGTTTTATGCATATATAAGGATTTGAAACCGAGATCATTTGTTTAAATCACTATATTTCCTTTCATTCAAGTTAAGTTAAATACTTTAGGGCTTTTGAAAGTATTTTATGGAATTAATAGAAGTGTGTGAATGTATTATTTTTATAATCATATAATTTAATTCATTAAATTATATATTATGCAATAAAGACAAAAGAAGAGACGATAGAAAGAAAAATACTTTTTAATCATGAACCAGGAAAACACATCTGAAGACTAATCTCAAAACTCATCTTATATATTAAATTAAATTATAGCTGCTCAATATATATATATATATATATAGTAGAGCATAAGCCGTTCCAATTGAAATTAATTAACTACTTAATTGAAATATTGAGATAACACATTAATTGCTGATTAGATATCAATCAATCAATTGAAATGTTAAGGTGTGTGTTTCGTTCTCAAGGATGGACCGGTTTTAATTAATGTATGTGATAGGTACCTAAGGACTGCTTAACGAAGAAGGTAGCCTTTTTTTTTTTTTTTTAAATTGATGGTTATAGAATTCCTAGAATGCCTACTAAAAAGGACATTAAATATAAATTTATATACAAATGTGTAATGCTCATAAGTAAATATCTATAATAATTACTCTTTCGATTTCAAAGATATAGACCCATTTGACTTTTTATGCAGATTAAAAAATATAAAATTAATAGTATGTCTTGTCATTTGGTTTGAAGTTACCTTCCAATATTGCCATGATTTTGTTTCCTAATGCAATATTTATTAAATTAATAAGATTACTAACTACCATTTGAGATGGGTTCAAATATTAATGCTAGCATAAAATTTATTTATTTTTGTTTTCACCAAATTTTCTAAACATGAAATGAAAAACAATTTTTGAAACCATAACTTTAAAAAAAAGAAAAAAAAAAAGAGTTACTATAATTGACTTGATTGAATCCTATACAGGAGTTCTCACTATTTTTATGGAAGTTAAAGCGTTCCATGTGGCCAACTGTTCCCACTTTCACATTGGAGCAAACAGATGAGAGGTTAGAACTCAGAAGATAATGCTACTGAATGTTGCAAGAGAATTTCCTTTGTCTTCTGATGATGATTAAACCAGTAGAACACAACACAAGCACTATATAATTGACTTGTTTGAATCCTATACTTGCTTCTGGAGTTGCAAAAACCTGTTTGTTCATAATAGACTATAGAAAGGTTCAGCATTCCAAATCAGAACGAAATTCCAAAAGCCATATAGGCCACAAAAGACTACAGTTACTTATTTATGCATAGAAACACCCAAACAAGGACAAAATACCCACAGTTTTCTCTGTGAGAACTGAAAACTTCATATGATGCACCTCCTCCCATGAAATTCCATGGACGAGAGCAACTTGTTAGAAAGACGAGATTCATCATTCGAAGCTTATTTCAATGTCCTAAATACATACAGCTTTGAATATGCAGGAGAACAAGTCGAAAATAGTACTGGGTTTTCTTATACGTATGGATGTGATAGCAAAGCCGGTACATTCTGTAAACCACTTCAAGACAAGAATCCTCTGCCAAAAGTCGCAATATATACAAATTTGCTGGCATGCATACAAGAAAAAGAACAACCTCATACATGGGAGGAAATGATAAACTCTGTTTAGTGCAATGGCTTGCAAACATATTGTTGACAAAGAATTATGTTTGATGCCAAGATGAAAATGGGAATCTAAAAATTACAACAGCACCCATTTTGTAATAATTCGTTGCTTTGACGCCAGTTGGGACAAATCCAACCATAGATAAAGATTTGAAAGCGCACATACACACAATTTGAAACAAAACGGGAAGCAAGGAAAGAAACCAAAAAGAGATAAGGGGTGATATTTAATATAACTGAAACTTGCAGATATACCTGCTCTTCTGGATAAATAAATTCTTGAGCCACTTCAATTATTCAGTGATATATAGATTCCAAGACAAGAAATTGCACAAACAAAGTATTATAATTCAAGAAAATGAAGCAAGTAATTTCCAGTGGGATGAGAATTGCAATGGTCGTGTCACTAAGAACAAGGGAACACTGCTAAGATGGTAATAATTCGGCTTAAAACAGAGAGACAAGAGTTGACATTGACATATGATTAATAATGGACTCAAGAGAACGAAAAGGGCCACATGCATAAGCTAAGCTTAGCCAATGGCTATGAAGAGGAAGCCACCGACAACATTTTGAAAGACAAGGGAAGGTGGGAGGTGGGCTTAGCATCAACGGGATAGGACTCCTATGATAGGAGCAACCCACCTACCTGCCAAAATCTTAAAGGAACGAAGGGTTTGGGTCGTTTTGGATTCTTGCCCGCAATCATTTGCTCTATTAACAAGTTGCCAAACGGTCTTGCTTTTCAGTCAAAACAACGTTGACCATCATCAACAACTCAACTAAGCTTTTAGCATCGTTCAATATCTCAGCGTAGCTGCTGTTGCTGTTCTAATCTGGGTGTTTTAAGTCACGTTGATTCAAAATACTTGACAAAAACATTTACCCTGCTCTGCGTCCCATTGCAAACACCAAAATATTTGAAAAACGATGCATTCTCACGTTACACAGGTTAGGTTTACTTTCCGCTCCACAATACACGTTGACCAATCACCAAACAGTTGAATGCAATAAAATACCGGAAACAAGGGATGGGAATGGGGCGAGGCTTGGACCACCACTGCCATCCCCATCCCTGCCCCGTCCCTTCAAAAAAAAAAAACCCATTCCCACCCCATGTCCTGTTTGGAGCAAAATTTCGTGTCCCATCCCCGCCCCAAACGGGACGAGGAGGGGCTGGGCAGGTTGGATTGCCATCTCTACAGGAAACCAACTACCAGTCAAAAGAAAACTACAGAACAAAATGATCGCATAATCTTCAAAACTTGAAAAAACACCGTTTTGATAAGAAGAACAAAGAGCTACATAGTCATTTGGCAGTACCAGTATAAGGCACCAAAAAGTTCCATTATAGCATAGAATAAGCACAAAATTCAACAAGAAAATTGGCAACTTAACAAAACGATCTTCAAAACTTGAAAGAGTAACAACATCAAAAGCAAAATAAGATCCAGGAAACAATAGGTTCATAAAAGAGATCTAGATCTAATCCACTCTAGTTCAACAATCTATCAAGCCTATCAAGGTCTCAGATAGAAGAACCAGCAAAGTGACCAACCAAATTACATGAACAGGTTGGGCCTGGATGCCTTGTATGTTGTCTTGAGCTTCCTGGTTGGGGGTCTGACCTTCTTGAACACCAAGGGGAACTTGATTTTCGAATTGTGGAACTGCTTGGTGCTCTCTCTCTTGCAAAGCTTTGCAGGGACAGTAGCTGTCTTGATGATCTGGATGCATGGAAACCTAACCCTGTGGCGGGATGCCATCTCAGTGTACATCTGCTCAACAGCACCATTCAGGGTAGTGTCCCTATATTCCTTGTACATGTTGTGATAACCAGTTCTGCTCTGGTATCGCAGCCATATTCCAAAGTTCTTGATCTTGGTAGGATTCTTTTCAAAAATCTACAATCAGAAATTAATTATATAAAAATGCTTGGAACAAAGAAGCACAAAAGGCTTTGATTCATGTTATTCCACAGGAAAGCTCATTACAAAGTACCATGTTGCTACCATTTCCCTTTAAGTGTGGGTCTAAATCTCGCACAAGAATTCTAATACCAAAAAACAAGCAAAAACTAGAACGTATTATCATCAGATACTCATTTCCTGCGATAGATTTAACCAGCTAATAGTGTGACCTTACCTCAATTAAAAGGAAGCTTGGTCCATAGGTGCATCAACCGAAAAAGCTATAAAATGTTCACCAAGGTAACATTCAAAATCTCAAATTATCCAGATGCCCTTACACAGAAGGCCATTACAAACACACATCAAAATGAATTTTTCTGAGCTATCCCCTCAAAAGTTCCAAGTCTCGAGAGCATAAAATTTAGTTCCAACATTTAGGTTATAACACATTAATACTAGTAGCTTAAGGAAAAAAAAAGAAAAAAAAAAAAAAGAACATGCAGACTTATTCCACGCACCTGGCCTGAATCCATACACTGGAGTCAGTGGGATCAATCAACATTTTTTGCATGTCGGAGGGATCCACACCAACACAAAAAAAAGCAGGAGTTTAAGCTAAGGAGCATGTGAATAGATTTGGCCGCTAATTTAATTCTTAAAAAATGCAGGAGTCTAAGCTAAGGAGTATGGGAATAGATTTGGCCACTAATTTAATTCTTGGAAAGTAATTTTGTAAATTAAAGATTTGAGTAGCTTGATTTTTTAGTCAATAGATGCTCAATTATGTGCTCAGCCAATCTATTGTTACAAAAATTTACTTTAATTTTCTTTAAACCTAAATAAATCTTCACAAGTTTATCACTTCCACTGGTTCAACTTTTTAAAATTCCTCACTGAATGAGTAACATAGTTCTAAGGAGTTAAACCTCAATGTTCATCACATTAGCCTAGATCTGTGAGGAGAAAGCATTTCATCCAATTTTTAACTCCAATTCAGGTTCAGATTAAAACCCTCATTTTAGAGGGCTGAGAACATAGCATTTCATCCCCTTATAAAATTTTCTTCTCTTGTATTGCTTTTAGGTCGAATTCCTCTCTCATCTTTCAAATACAAGGAACCTTCGGAAAAATATTAGGATTTTCACAAGAAACAAAGGTGAAAAAAGAAGAATAGGAAGTGAACATGCAGCGTAATAGATAGAACAAGAGCCAGAAGCCCACAAAAGCAATTTTTCATAAATAAAAAATTGAACCATCCAAGATGCACTTGGGACAGTCATGCATTATAACATCTCCAAGTATAAGATGTACAACTGCATTAAGAAAACAACAACAAGACCCAGACAACCTCCCAAATTATATCGTGAAATGAATTACAGATATACATCCTATTGTCAGTTACAAAATCAATTCTGTACAATGAAAATGTGAAGCCATCCAAGAGCACAGAACTACTTTGCCACAAAATCTTCATTCTATTCACAAGCACATACTGCATATAATTCTCAACAACAACAAAGAAGTTATCAACAAACAACGAGTGAGAAAAGCCGTCACTTTTCACCAAAATGTCTGTACGTTTCAAGCAATCCCACAAGTTTACATACATCATGCCTCTGGATTTTACTCATAAGACAATATTAACAGATGCTCTATAAAGCATGTAAGATCACACATACCTCATTGATGGCAAGAATTTGTCCATTGCTTTTCTTGACCTTCTTCAGCTTCCTCAAGAAATACCTAAAACACATCAACCATAATAGCATCATGGAGTTAGTAATCCTAGGGAAAAAAAAAAGAGACCGAAAAACCACTAGAGACATATTATTGAGGAAGTGAAGTAACGATACATACCAGAACTTTGATTTTGAACGAACCTCGTTAGTGGCCCAAAGCTTCATGCGGTAGATCTTGGGGTGCTCATCTTTCTCAGTTGGCAGTGCTCTGCCGACCACTTGGTACTGGTGAAACTGTTTCCAAAAAAAAAAAAAAAAAAAAAAAACAGAAGAAATCAAACATCTTGTTATTTAGCAGAAGATTGAGCAAGTCCGAGGATGTTGACGTTGCATACCCTGAAGGCACCCATTTTTTGATGTGCTTGAAAGAGAGACGGCCGGGTTCCTCAAACGTTCAATCTTTCCTCTCTGTCTAGGTTTCAGAGAAGTATACAAGTGAGGGTTTAAAACCCTAGACTCCTTGCCGCGGTTAGGATGAGCTCTGAGCCCTAAAATATTCTCAGATGGGCTCAGCCCAATATATCCTCATCAAGTAGTATATTTAACTGGGCCAAAAACACTTATTTGTCCCATTGGATTTCCAGAGGCCCAGATTTAGGTCCCATTGGGCCAGCAGGAGCTAGTTCGATGCAAGCAGACAATATCATACAGGCCAGCCCATCTAACATGATGGATTGTACATTTGGTAAATGTATCTGTTCTCTTGAAATTTTCTAAATATCATCCCTCTTCTATTTTTCTTTTTTAATCGATCCATGTACTCGTGAATCGTTGAAAAGGTGGTCGTGCTTCTTCTATCTTTTTCGAATTTCATCGTTAGTTCTTGACAGATAGTTTGACATGTCAGTTAATAAATACAAAGTGTGGACAAATACCAAAAATTTTTAAAAAATGGAATCACAAACATTTTTTGAAAAAAAAAAAAATCTGTAAATGTCCTAACTTTGAGGATCTTACAAGCGTAATTGCTAAAAAAAAAAAAAAAAAAAAAGAAATCATGATTTTATTTTTCGAGAAGTGAAGCAATGGTTCTCTATCTTTTCTTATGAACCGAAAGTCTCGATAGCAAAAAAAGAAAAATGAATCCTGCAAAATTGCATGGAAAAGGTTCAGATCTAGGGTTTTGGTCGTCCACTAATTGTCCTTTATTGTCAATGTATTAGGTTTTGAAAATACTATTCGCGACAGAAAAGAAACATATTGAGTGAGTGAGTAGTTAGTTGCATATAAATATGCTAAGAGTACAAATAGAGTGACAGAAAAATGTGAGTAATTGTTTTCACATTTCATAAGGTTGGGATTTTGATTTTTTTGTGTCTCAAAGGTTTCCAAAGCTTAAAGGCTTAGACTAATCTTTCGTTATTCAATTGGACATAAAAAATAAACACAACTACCTAAAAAGTTTTCTATATATACAAAGATTTGAAACCAAGACCATTTTGTTAAACGGCATTTAAAAATTCTAAAAGTCCATCATATAAATTATATAATTTTTTTTTTCGAAGAAAATAATCACATTCTAAAGCTGTATTTAAAAATCCATCCATAGAGAACAATATATCATATTTATCAACAAATAATATTTAAACAAAAAAAATTAATTGGATAACAATCTCTATAAGAAATGACAATTTGCATAAATAAATTTTAAATTATAAAAAATAATAAAATCTAAAACGTATGTTTACTTTAAAATATAAAAATATATCTATATATTTGTTTCTCGTTAGACCGTGCGAGAACCAAAAAAAAAAAAAACAATGTTTGATATTCAAAAAAATTCACCTAAAAATCTTTAGAAACAAATTGGAAAAAAAAAAAAAAAGAAGCCCGGCTAAGAACCGAGCTAGCGTGCACGGGCGTGGAGGAGCAAACCCTATCGAGAAAGTTTTTTTAAAAAAAAAAACGTTATAATTTCTAACGAGCTGGTGTTCATTATGAACGTTGCTAGAAAATCATGTTTTTGTTTGG